TCTTGGACCCGGACAGGGTTCATCCTCTGCAGCCAACTTTTCCCACGTGAGGGTTTGAGACCATTAAAAAATAAAAACTCTCCGCACCACAAACTGGTGATGCATTCAGGGTCAGCAGAACATAAATGCAGCCCAATAAACGCTTTCTTTACATGTTGGAAGAAAAACGCTTCAGAAGTTCACGTTTGGACCTCTGAGGGCTAAAAGCAGAACCTTTTTAAAGCTCTCAGAGGAACCAGCTCATCCTTTCTTTCTTTTGAGGCTTTCAGTCTTCACTAAAGGTTTCCTGGTGCTAACGAGCTCCGGTACCAGCGAGTCACCGCAGTTCTCAGAAAGAACGAGCTAAAATAAAGTGTCCAAACGGTTCTGACACGGAAGATGTTTTTCTGTTCGAGCAGCTCTCAAAGGAAAAGAAATCAGTTGTGAGCAGGAGTGAGGCTGCTGCAGCTGAAAGGTTCACAGAGAGGAGCCTCCATCTTTAAATTCATCACCTTCACTCGACCAGGTTCTGAACAACATCAGCTGAAACCGGCAGAACTCTGACGTGTGGCTGAAAGAGACACCGGCGGGCGTTGAGGAACTTTCACCACCAGCCTTTATGGAAAATCAGCCTCTCTCGTGGTTCTGGAGGAGTTCTGGACCACTCTTGAGATCTGCTCAGCTCTCTGAAGGTCCACCACGGCCTTTCAGTCAGGTTCAGGTTCTGGACTCTGACTGGACCCTTGGTTCTGTTCTTTCTGACCCGTTCTGTTTAGACCATTCATTCAATCTTTATTTCTACAGGTTAGTCTCAGTGAGCCGCGGGGACTCATTTACAAGAGAGACCTGGTCAACAAAGAACGATGACAACAGTGGACATAAAAGAAAATAAAATGAGGAGAACAAAAAGAAAATGGAATTTAAAACAGCTACATTATAAAGTCATGTAAAATACTGAAAACAGGAACGTGTCTGTTGGTTTTTGCCTTGAACTCAGATGTTTGAAGTCACTTGGAGGTCGAGAGCTTCAGATCTTTTTGCAAGCTGCTGTGTTTGGGATCATGGTCCTGTTGGACCCAGTTTGGTCCAGCTGTTGGACTCCAAACCCTTTGGTCTCCAGAGGAGTTCCTGCTCCACTCAGGGACTGACAAGAGTCCAAACCATCAAGCTCCACCACCGTGCTGACAGCTGGAGGAGCTGTGTGCTGCAGTACATTCTGGGTAAACATCTGTCTTCTGCTCTGGTTCTGGTCCAGAAGTCTTGTGGTTCCTTCAGAGACTTTCCAACCTAAGTCAAGCTACCATGTTAGAGTGAAGAGGCCATGACCTTTGACCTTTGACTGAGGTCTGTAGAGCAGGGCTGTTCAACTGGCGGCCCGCGGGCCAGCCTGCCGGTGAGTTCATTAATACAATGAAGACAAACTGAAAGCAGCCATGAAAGAAACCTTTAAAAGGTTTGAACTGAAAAAAGGACATCCTGTTTTGAGCTCTTCTCCACGAGCGTACACTCTAAACTCGTTATCGTAGACCTCTAAGAAGAACTTTCAGAAGAGCTCCGGTTACTGTGGCCCCTGGAGCTCTTCCCCGGAGCTCACTGCACGGTCTGACCTTCAGGGTGAACTGTGCACACTGACAGCTGTCTTAAATGTTTCTCCTTGAGAATAATCTGAACAGTGGATTCCAGATGACCTTTGACCCTTCCAGACTGATGGGCAGCAACAGCTGCTTCTCTGAGGTCATTGCTGATGTCTTCCCACCCAGGAACATAAGCTTATAGTTTATCCTCCAAAACGCTGAGAAGTTTCCTCTTTGGCCCATCAGCTGACAGATGAGCCGAGGCAGAACTGAACCAAGCCTGTCTGGACCCTTCCTGGTCCAGGCGGGACCCCGGGGATTGGGCCTGAGGCTGCTGAGGACCACATGTTGAAACGTCTGACAGCCAGAAGTGATTTCACCTGCCGGGAATCTACAGTCACGACATTCCAACACATCCCAGAGCTCAGGATAGAGTTTCACCGGGGGGGGGGGGGGGGGGGGCCGGGGGGGGGTGCCGGGGGGGGTGAGGACTTGGGGGGGGGTGTGGGGGGGCTGCGGCAGACGGGGGGGCGGCGGGGGGGTATGTTTCAGCTGAACCAGGCTGATGGTTTTACAACGAGCAGTAACTGTTTCTATAAAGCACGGGTTCTCAGGTTTTATACTCAGAGGTCCGAGTTCTAGAAACGGTCCAGAACAACCTGCAAAAACAGAACCGTGAAATAAAAACAAGATTTTACTGCAACAACAACAAAGACCCCAAAACCAGAACCAGGTTTCAACAGGCTGATCTTAACTTTTATAACATATGTACCTCTTTATCCTCTCTTATGGACAAACTGTTGGACAAACTGTTGGACTCAATGTTGGACAAAATGTTGGACAAA